TCCGCCGGAGTTCCGCGCAACAAAATGGTGATGGGCATCCCTCTGTACGGGAAGTCGTGGACCTTGAAGGATCCGAATGTGCACGGCGTCGGAGCACCCGCCGTCGCCGTCGGCCCCGGCGACAACGGGATCCTAACTTACGTTCAGGTGCGTTCTAGTTATATTTGTAAAATAATATTGCTAACCAAAATTTTGACACGTATGTAAGAGCAAACAATATAGAAAAGATTAAGGAGACCATTAAACATAGGAAGGAATATATATTCTTTGATTTTTTAAATAATATTTATAGGTATTTTTGCTGACAACTTCATGGAAGAAAATAAAATAAAATATATAGCTATCAATTTTTTAACATAGCAAAAAGGGAGATACTTACTTACCATACACAAATAATAATAAAAAGAAAAGTATTTAGATATTTTTTTTTTACGAACGTGGATGGGAGATTCGAACTCATGACTTATTAACTCGAGGTGTGTCAATTATTGCTGGCAAAAATATCTAGATATTCGCATTCATATTGCATCCATAACCATTAAATTTTGACATTTTAAAAAAGTTGACAAGCAATCATTTTTTATTTTACATGTCATCATTAAAGTTTTGAAAGTAGGTGGGAGAAACTTAAAAGAAAATTTATTTTCCTTTTTTCTTAAATGAAAAGTCAATAATGGTCAAATATTCGTATTAAGAAAAAAAGTAAGGTCAATTAGTCTAAGGATTTAAAACAAGTTAGAGACAAATATGTGGACATGTTGTTGTTGGATTTTGAATACTATGATTGCTAATGGGTAAATTAAAAAGGCTAAATTCATATATGTTAATAATTGGACAATAAAGGTAGAGGAATTCAACCGGAAGAGCGATGCGACGGTGGTGTACGACATAAGAACGGTGTCGGCATATTCGTACGTGAAGGCTTCTTGGGTTGGATACGACGACGACAAGTCGACCACAACGAAGGTGCAGTTTGCCCAAGCGCTTGGCCTCCGTGGCTATTTCTTTTGGGCTCTCAGTTACGATACTCCGGATTGGAAGATTTCTACCCATGGTTTGTTTTTTTTTTTAATTAATTTCATTAATCTCTACTTTCTTTTTTTTTCAAATTATTTCTTATATTTATTAAATGTATTTCTTTTGCAGCCTCAAATGCGTGGGTCGATGTCGACGACCACTATTGAAATTTGCGGATGGAGTTGGACAGTTTCAAATAAATAGCTTTCACGGCTGTATTATTGTTTTTTTTTTTGTAGTACTAGTATTATTAATGATTGACTATATCTATATATTCTCCAAATTATTAAATAATGTTACAAAGCTAATATATTTATTCATGATAACCAAAGAAACATGCTCAAATCTGGTCCTTTAAAAAATTTTCGTGAAACAAATCAAGATGCGATCTGTAAAATTTCAGGGCGAACTCTATGGTGTAAAAATTGAAACCAGACATGTGTGTTACCTTAGAGTGGGGTGGAGTTGCCTCTAGTATTTATACTTAGGCCACATAATATGTTTCCGTGAATTCTTGCGTTGAATCCGCAATCGTGGTAGTGAGGGAGTGAAGCGGTTATTAATATGCTTAAACGAAGACTGCCCCTACAGACCAACACGAGTCACCCAACCCAAGATTGCTCCAAACCAAGTACGCTTTACGATTGAACCACTGAAAAGGAAGGTACACCTTAGGTAGTGACTATAAATTCTTTTAAGCCTTTGTTAACCATTCTTCTATGATCTCAGTATCCTTTCATTCAGATGTGGTATAGATTAATTATCTTGTTGGTGTAAAGAAGGATAATTATCTTTATTATTGGTATGAAGTATTTTGAGTGGAGTGATTGAGAAAACAAAACCGTGAGGATTATGCTCAAAGCAGACAATATCTACTCAACTCAATTTGTGAACATCCTAAATAGTCCTGAAAATGGTATGGGAGACAGAAAGATGGAGGGAGGATTTTCGTATGACCTATTTGATTTTTGCACATTTTTTGAAAATTGAAGGATCTGTTTGTCCGATAGATTTAGTGAAATTTGATAAACAACATTTTCATGTTTTCAGCATTTTCATATTTTGAATTTGAAACTTTAAAATGTGGAAGTGTATTAAGAAAGATGAAAACTAATTTAGATCGAATTTGTATGGAATGAACTTTAATTTGTATAAGTTACATAACAAGAGGTATAAGGATAGTGATCACTCTATAATTTGAGTCTGTGTTATATTATCATAATGTAGATTTTTTCAATAAAAAAATATCAAACGGCGCAACGTTCAAGTTCGGCAACTTAGATTCTGTCATCATCCGTACATCCATGCATTTTGGGCTGCCAAAAATAACACAAAAGGTGAATAAATATAAAAATAATAGGTCGAATATTTTTAATTTTGTTAGAAATACTAAATCAATAATTATATTTCTGTCTTAAACATACCTGCTTCAGCAATGGCCCAATTCTTCTCGTAGCCAAGGGCCCAAAAAAAGTACCCGCCAAGCCCATGGGCTTTCGCATACTTAACCTTAACATCGATGGAGGTGGGCCTATCATATCCAATCCAAGTGGTCCCCACAAACGAGTAAACCGAAACGGTTTCCTTGTCGAACACCACGGTGGCGCCATTGCCGGAATTGAAATCCAGTATATC